GGGTATAGAGCTGGTCCAGTGTACCACGGCCCGGACGACAAGTGCATTGTTCCTCCTGGATCCCAGGCTCAATTATTGGCCGGATCCTCATTTCCAGTACCCTGGCATAGACTTTCCCCGGGAGGCTGAGGAGTGTGATCCCTCACCTGTCCCCGACCTCCATGCGATGTTGTAAAGACGTGTCAGCCACGACAGCCCCACAGCATCCAGAGACCTAAGATACATATGGTAAATCTCATCCACCCCTGCCGCTTTGCCACTGCGGAGCTTGCAAACTACCTCAGTGACCTCAGCTTGGGTGATGGGTGAGTCCACCCCTACATCTCCAGTCTCTGCTTCCTCGATGAAAGACATGTCAGTGGGGTTAAGGAGATTCTCAAAGTATTACTTCCACCGCCCGACCACATCCTTAGTCGAGGTCAACAGCTCCCCATTTCCACTGTAAACAGCGTCGATGTGGAGCTGCTTTCCCCTCCTGAGGCACCGGACAGTTTCCCAGAATCTCTTCTGGGCCAACCGATAGTCTTCCTCCATGGTCTCCCCGAACTCTTCCCAGGCCCGAGATTTTGCTTCCACAACCACCCGGGCTGCAACTTGGCCCGTTGATACCCATCAGCCATCTAAGGAGTCCTGCAAGCCAACTAAGCCCTGTCGGACTCCTTCTTTAGCTTTATGAAATCCCTTACATCCAATGTCCACCACCGGCTTCGTGGATTGCCGCCCCGACAGGTACCACAGACCTCACGGCCACAGCTCCTCACGGCCAGTTTCTGTGCCTGACGATCAGGTTGTCGTGGTCCTATGCAGGGGAGCTGTAAAAATGATAAATATATATTATTTATAATATATATATATATATATATATATATATATATATATATATATATATATATATATATATATATATATATATATATATATATAATGTATATATAATGTATATATATAATATAATATAGTTGGCGCAGTAGGTAGAGCTGTCGCCTTACAGCAAGAAGGTCGGCTGGGTCACTTGGCGTTTCTGTGTGGAGTTTGCATGTTCTCCCTGCATTCACGTGGGTTTCTTCCGGGTGCTCCGGTTTCCCCCATAGTGGTACAGGTGAATTGGGTAGGCTACATGCGGTACAGGTGCGGTACAGGTGAATTGGGTACAGGCGGTACAGGTGAATTGGGTAGGCTAATTGTCCGTAGTATATGAGTGTGTTTGTGTGAATGAGTGTGTGTGTGGATGTGTGCCAGAGATGGGTTGCCACTGGAAGGATGAAAAACCTGTGTAAAAACCTGCCGGATAAGTTGGCTGTTCATTCCGCTGTGGCGACCCCAGATTGATTAAGGGACTAAGCTGAAAAGAAAATGAATATATATATATATATATATATATATATATATATATATATATATCAAAAATGTGAACTAAATTTAGTGTACAAAAATTATATTTTTTTTTTCTGATTGCTTTATCCCCCAAATTATAGATTTTTTAGGGGCCAAGCACCGTAGGTGCGTAGGCACCTATTGCTTTCGTTAGTGTTCTTATTATTATTATTATTATTATTATTATTATTCTTCTTCTTCTTCTTCTTCCGTTTCTTCCGCCGGATTTGAATGGCAGCCCATATAGGCGTATGCGGGAAAGTTGTATAATTTGGCACAATGATAGAGGCCAGTATTAACATTAATCAGGCCAATTATGAAGTCTCAAAATCAAACTCTCTAGCGCCACCACTTGTCCAAACGTTCACATATGTTTATCATCATAACTTTTAAACCGAATGGGCTACAATCAAAATTCTTTTTTCCTCTGATTCCTTGGCTCAGTCCGATTCAAACCCACCCTATGACGTCATTTTCCGTCATGAATTTTTTCGCGCTATTTTAAATTTTTCGAAAAACCTATTTGATCGAACTCGTCCTAGGCCGTGTCTCCGATTTTCACCAAAATTGAATCACATGATCTACAGACCATGCCAACCAAAAGTTATGGAATTCAAGTTAATTTGACCAACCGTTTTCGTTTAACTTACGAACTAATTTAACGTAGAACTTGCGAAAATGTACTTGAGGCGATATCTCTGTAATGCATTCACCGATTCACACCAAACTTGGTGTGTGTTATGACAACTAGGGTCTAAGGTTAATTGCGGAGTTTCGGCGCACTGCCCCCTAGTGGTCCGGAGATACTAAAAACTTGCTTTTTGGCTTATAACGTCTCAACCTTTGGTCCGAAACTCATGAAACTGGTCTCATTACATCCGGCAGAGCATGCCGAGTCGAATGATGTCTGATTTTCACAGGTCAGCCATTTTGGGCGTCGCCCATTTCGATTTTTGGCCCAAAATGCTATATTTTACCAACACATTCACATATCATTACAAAACATGGTATGCATCTTCAACCCCATGCCCTGAAAGTACTCAAAAACGTATGGAGCAGCGCCACCTTATGGCCAATAGTGCTTGGCCCCTTAATTGCTGCTTGCAGCTATATTTTATTATTGTAATTGTTTTACGTTTTTTTTTTGTCCTAAAAATGTTTGCAAATTAGCGCATAATATAAAGCCTCTGAGCCACATTTATTACAAAATAATAATAATAAAAAAAAATTGCAATTCGTAATATTATCAATCGACTGTGCAAGCATGTTGATAAAATATTACCTTATTTTTCACCATGTTTACTTGAAATGTCTTGGTTTAATACAGTTGCATTAGCACTGCCTTTCCCTTCATTCAGGTTACAGTTTCTTCCACCTTAGGCAGGTCTATTTGTCCTCTCGGAGACAAACAATGCAGATTGCTCGTTCATCTGAATCAGTATATAATTAGCTTATTCTGAGCTGAGGTCTTGTTTGCTGTGCCAAATGCCCAAAAGCACTGACTGATCGTATAATTCTGTAAATACAGGCCATACAAAAACAAGGGATTAAGTCGGAATGTAACACAATAAAAGTGATTTATATCATATCTCTTGAGATACGCAAGCCTGTCTGGGGGTTGGATTTTAATTGTGTAATCAGATGTGTACCTGCCAGATTTACAAAGTTCTGCATGGATACAATAAAGACTGGTCAAAAACCATGATTCTTGACAATGAATCAAAGGGACTGGATGGATATAATCAGTTTATTAATTAGTAATGTGTCTTATATTCAGTCATCACATGCTCATAGGTCACATTGCTGTAGTACTGTGCACAAAACAGAATTGCAAATAAAATAAAATAAAAAGTCTATGTTTTTATTGCATTGCCTAATTACTCAACATATTTTCATATATGTTTCTATAATTTCAAAACTGTGAAATTTAAAGAAAAAAAATGAGAAGTTTGCAATAATAAAAAAATAAAAACCTAAATTTACAGAAAATATGTCTAGAATTTTTACTGTAATTTTTGTAATTTCAAATTATATTCAAATCTAAGTAAAATAACAAACAATCTCTCTAAATTAACAGCTTGACTGTTATTTTATGTTCTATATAATTAACGACAAATTACAGCAATTTTCCTGTTTTATACAATAAAATTGTGTATTTTTGCATACTGTTTTTTTCCTTTTTTTTAAAAGTACATTTAAAATGACGTAAAATTAAAGTTACAAATTGTAATTACTTGCTCTGTTAGAAAAAAAAAATAGTAAAAAATGGTCAAATGACTGGCAGCTATGGCTGCCAAACAAAAACCATAAAATTACAGTAAAATTTCTTCGTTAAAATTAAGTGCAAAAAATAATAAATCTACAGATATTCTCATTAAAATGTTTACAGAAAAACACTTATTTTACAGACTTTTCCTAGATTATTACGATCTTCCAGCTGTAACCCATCTCTGGGAAACATCCACACATACTCATACACTACAGACAGTTTAGCCTACCCAGTTCACCTGTACCGCATGTCTTTGGACGGTGGGGGAAACCGGAGCACCTGGAGAAAACCCACGCAAACGCAGGGAGAACATGCAAACTCCACACACAAACGCCAAGTGACCCAGCCGAGGCTCAAACCTATGACCCAGCGAATATTTATTTATTTATTTATTTAATTATTTGTTTACATTGAGTGTTGTTAAAATGCAACCCCAGTGTAATCCTATAGCATTAAATAATAAAGACATTGATTCAATGATTTTGCAACGGCATTGCAACTTCCAAATTATTGTCACTTTTTGAATATCAGTTGATCAATAAAACATGGAGGTTTCCCTAAACCATGACTCATGTACTGTAAATTGTACAAAACTACAAAACATGTATCTTTTATAAAACAATCTTTCATTTCCACAAAGGGCTACATTCAAATTCAATGCTTATATTAATATGTTTTCTTGTTAAACGGACACTCTTTCAAAGGATGGTGTCCACATTTTTAAATAATTCAGGGTTAAACACAATTCATGTTGTCCTGACACAAATCAATTAGTCAACTTTTACAAATTCAAGTGGACTGAACATAAAACAATTAAGTCGTCACAAAACATCTCAAGAAATGAATTGTTTCAGCTCATTTTAATTGAACAAGCAGCAAAAACATTTTTATAGAGCCTATACATAATACTTGATTGTATATTTACTTTAGTTTGACTGAGGTAAAAAACAGCAACACAATTATGGAATCTTTTAAAAAGTATAAGATATATTTACACATTTGTGAACTGTTTCAAACAAACAATTAAATAAAAGTTAGGTGTTACAAGACCTTAGCCAGTTTTACTTCAATGTTTGAAAACTATTTTAAATATTTTTAAACAATCAGTTCCCGTTAAAGACAGATGATCACGCTGCTATACCGTACAGTCGCGTTGTTTGTTTGCCAAAACATGTTTACGAGCAACACGTGCTTTACGTAAAAATGACGAAATTTGATATTGATAGACATCTTCTGCTCCCCTCTTCTTCTCTCAATCCTTTTGTTACTTCCATGTGCCCATACTTGGGTCTCTCCCCTCCTCCTCCTCTCTCATCATTACGCATTCAGTCTCACTCAGCGCTCCGTTCAAGCGCCGCTCATTGCGCTCCAGACGCTCCACGCACCCGAGTGCGCAAGACCGCTGCTGATAACGATCGGTTATAATAGTAGAAAAACACAATAGTGTTTATTTCAATGCCACACTTGAAGCGCTAGGAATCATACACATTCACACATTTGGACGCTCCAAAGCCTCTATTAACCAGCCGTGGCGCAGAAGTATCCTCAAACATGAGCAGCATCATTTCGGATGGCGGTGATGTTCTTGATGGAGATCTGCGTCCTGACACTTCATGACAAAAGACACACAACAACTCTATCTTTCAGCGTCCGATCAACCGTGGCAAAGAAGAGAAGAGAAGAGCGCAGGATGAAAAGCACTGGCTTACTGTTGGGCTACTTTTTAATGAAAGTTCTTGTGTGCGACGCGGAAGGAGAGCCAGGCAAAAGCCTGGATGGTGCGGTGACAGCGTCCGGGTCCAATGACTCCAGAGACGGGGAAAACGGCCTCTCCGAGACCCCTCACACTGAGGACAGGTGTCGGGGCTATTACGATGTGATGGGTCAGTGGGATCCTCCATTCGTGTGCCGGACTGGTAGTTACCTGTACTGCTGCGGGACCTGTGGATTCAGGTTCTGCTGCGAGTTTAAGAACTCCAGGTTAGATCAGACCACCTGCAAAAACTACGACACGCCGCCGTGGTCCATGACGGGCCGACCACCGCCGAAGATGATGGACCAGCACGACCCGACAAAGGATAAAACCAATTTGATTGTGTATATCATATGCGGAGTAGTTGCTATCATGGCGCTGGTTGGGATTTTCACCAAACTTGGCTTGGAGAAAGCGCATCGACCCCACAGAGAAAATATGTCCAGGTGAGTTGAACAGACCTTAAGTTTAAAAGCTGTTGAATGTTGTTTGTGTGACTACTGTAGAGCTCTGTGACAGTTGATTCTACACTATATATAAAAAAAAAACCTGGTTGCCTTAAATTTCTATACTACATGAAATTAACCCTATAAGCCAATTGAACTTATATTATAATAACTGACTTAAAACTGCATGCATAACTTAAAAAATTAAGTTAGAACATGATTAACTTACTTCATGATTGACTAACTTTAATAAGTTATAATGAACTAAAAACATATGTTGTCATGACCAATTGATCAGTTCACTTTTACAGAGAAGCCTTAATCTATATCAGGCTGTAGATTCTTTGTTGACATTTTTGGATGCTGTTGTAATCTGTGTTGTTATGGAGCTGAGCTGTTCATTCCAGAGGACAGAAAGAAAATCCACATGATTTTATTTATTTATTTGATTTCAATGACTGTATATTTGTCTTCATACTGTACATACAGCTTTATGACCTGACTGAATATGCATATCTATTGTTATTTATAAATGTTGTTGTGTGTCTGTTGTTGTGAAGCTGACAGTTTTATTCATTATGAAAGAAAAAAAAATACAAATGTAATACAATAATATCTCAGCTGTTAATTCTGACAACAACGCAAAAAATAAGCAGCTTTAACTAATAACTATTTAGTAACTAGTTCCACATATTTTTCATTTCTCTCGCTAATAAATGTTAATTGAATCTTTATCTTTTTTCAGTTGGCTGAAATTTGACTTCAACTTCAAACATATTATTATATTGTCTGTATTACTCATTCTGAATCTTGACTTGGATTTGAAAATAAACCTTTATTTAACATTTTAAATTAATTGTTGCACATTTAATAGAACATGCTCTTAACCAAGCCCAAGAAAGGTTATTAATTCCATTTTGCACTTCCAGCATTTCATTAATTGACATTTCTATAGTGAATGCATTCAGTCTGAGAATCTTTTACTTAAGAGTTTCAGAAGAGATTACACAATGTCACAATTTGTTGAGATGCCAAAGTCAGGGCAATCAAGTGTCGCACCTTTTTTTTTTTTTTGAGAAGAACTATACAAAAGCTGTCAGTGGAGTGGTATATGCTGGGTGTTTTTAACAGAAATTCATAGCTTATGATTCACAGGTGTTTATGCTTTCAAATTGCGTTCTGGGACCTTGATCTCTGCTCTGTTTGGATGTTGAAAATTTTATTCTGTAGTGTAACAAACTGACTTTTATTAACAATTTTTAGTAGTTTAAAAGATATATTGTTTTAGTTGGTCAGTACTTTATTTTTTACAGTTGTATTGAGTGCACTATCAAGTACTTTAGTTACTAACATGCATTTTTATGACACAAATATTTACCCAAGGTAAAAAAGTGTTTAAAAGGGCAGCACCTCAGTGAGAGCTTTTCTACCTTCTGTATATTTCATTACACTGTAAAGTTTCTGTTAATTAACAGTTTATATGTGATTTGCAAGTGTTTTAAATTTGTTTACGGGTGTGAATTGTATTGTATTATATCTGCTCTGCCGACTTTTGATGTTGAAAATTCAACTCTACAATTGGCAAAGAGACTTTAATTGAACTATTTGTCATTTAAAATAATAAAGTGTATATTAAATTATATAGAGAGAAATAAGTCAGTAAAATAACAACAACAAAAAAAGTTTTTTTTAGTGTAATATATAACATCAACTATTTAAAAAAAATCATGATATCATGAGTCATATCATTCGATATAGATAATTATTTATTTTTTTTTACAATACATTTAGGAATATTAGGATTTTTTATGTAACCATTTAATTTATTTTACCAACATTACTAAGGCAGATCATTTTTTAAAGTCAAAAAACAAACAAAAAAAATTTAAACTAAATATCTTATAATAAAATAAACATTAGTGGGGTGACGCTGTAGGTAGTGCTGTCGCCTGACAGCAAGAAGGTCGCTGGTTCGAGCCTCGGCTGGGTCAGTTGGTGTTTCTGTGTGGAGTTTGCATGCGATTGTGTGAATTTCCAATGGGTGCTCTGGTTTCCGCCAGAGTCCAAAGACATGCGGTACAGGTGAATTGCGTAGGCTAAATTGTCCATAGTGTATGAGTGTAAATGAATGTGTGTGGGATGTTTCCCAGAGATGGGTTGCGGCTGGAAGGGCATCCGCTGCGTAAAAACGTGCTGGATAAGTTGGTGGTTCATACGGCTGTGGCGACACCAGATTAATTAAGGGACTAAGCCGAAAGGAAAATGAATGAATGAATAAACATTAGTGATAAAGAGACTCTTAAACTTAATAAATAAAATGTTAAAAAGTGTGTGCAATAGTAAAGCATAAATACTGAACAAAAAAAGCAAACTTAAGGTGTGAATATTAGTGATACAGTAAACCTCAAAGTCTGTCAACAAAACAGATTATGATAATCAAATCTGAGCTTTCAAGTAAAGGAATCCAGCCATCATTACTCAAATACATATTGTAATATGTGAAATTGTGAAGTTGAATGACTATATTACCCCCTACGTAAAAAAAAAAAAAAAAAACAGATGGGGTGCTAGTTGCTGGGATGCACAAGAAAAGAAACCAAAAAGCCACTCTAGCAACATCCTTACATCCTTTTTTATTTACAATCTCCTCACTGCTGCTATACAGCACTTAATTTCGCATGTTATTCTGACCTGAAGTGGATCCCTTGACCATTTGCAATGGATTTAGCACTTGAGCTACCCTGGAATCTCTTGTATAACTAGGTGATCATCAACCATTTTCTTAGAGAATGACAAACAGACAAACCATTGCTGCCACTCAGATGAAAGTTTATGGAGAAAAGTAAAAAGCACTGCAGTGATTTGGTGGGCTGTGTTTGTCTGAGGTAATTAGTCTGCTGTTATTACTGAAATGTGTATATTACAAAGAGTGAAGCAGATTGGTTAGTTCTACTTACATTCTGAAAAGCTCAGATGATTTTAACTAGGTGTGGCTGGAAAATGTGCGCGGTTCATGTTTGCGTCGCTCCCATATGTGCCTTGTGCAAGTCACGCGCCTCCATTGGAAATGACAAACTTACACCCTAAGCTTATAGGCTTTTTTTTAGCAGCCAGATTTAATAAAACTATAGCTTATATAACAAAACTACATACTGTATTGTCTTTATATCGATATTGGCAATGGTCTGTAGGCAATAAATATCAAAACTGATTTTATTGTCCAGACTTAACACCAACCCAGACAATATATCCTTTTAAACTATTAAAATGTTTATAAATGTCACTTTTTAAAAACTTTTTAAGGTTTAAAGTTGTTGGAAGAGAGATTAAAGTCCCACAATGCAACTCAAAAGCATAAATAAATAAAATAAAAACAAATCACAAAATATGAAAAAACTGCTAATTTATGGATATTTTTGGTCAAATATTTGTCATTATACTACTCCAAATTTAACTGAGCTATGCTATTTACTACATTTGTTTCATTTTCAATGATATACAGTATATCAACAATTGCCTCATTTGTGTCCATGTTTAGATTCTGTCCTAAGGACACGTATTTTGTTTCATCAAAGTTGATACTGTATCACTATGAAACATAACAGAGAATACTTTTGTATTCTGAGCTATCAATGAGAAAGCCCTAAGCATGACAGTTTTCCTCTGGGATGCCATTCAGTGCAGCTCAAGGCTTTCAAGGATCGCACCGACACCATCTATCACCATGACCTTGTGCTAGTTTTCCTACAACTTCAACTTGCTTTATTTTCCTGTCGATCCGTTTATCACTCATGCAGTCTACAACACTGACATGTTCAGAAGCAGGGAGTACACTTTTTTATATTCACAGGCAGACGTTTATCTGACGTTCAAGGTTTAGTAGGCCTTTTTGAGAGGTGGAATGTGCAAAGTAACGTTCAATTAAAACCAAGAAGGAAAGATTTGCCTGCTTTCAATGAGCGCTAAAAACCAGACATGCTTTCCCCTGAAGACACGGGATAAACCGTGAATAAATCGGCGAGAGAGAGCTGAAAGCAGTCGCACTACAAAAGACTGCCATTCAGGTTTTATTCATCTGTTGATCAGCAGTGTTTTAAACATTCATCAACATCTCCCTAAGTCTCTAATTATCTCCATATCGAGGCGCAGATTTCATTTGTAAAAGCGTCTACTCCAAAACAATCGAGCACTCACGTACGCTCGCATCGGTAAAGAGGTGTCCGTGACATTAGTAGGATAATGGACACTGATCTGTGTCTAATGACGCTAATATTTCAAGGACATTCTGTTTGTGCGGTGACCTTTCGCTCTATTTAGACTGACCTGAACAGGCGTGAGCACAATCTAAACTCACACTGGCCATAGGAAAACACCCACCATACATAACTATTCATTTACACCCTTTTAATTGAGGGTCTATTGAAAACTGCGCCATGCAGACATATTAAGGATGATTTAAACTGTACAAAAACAATTTCATTTCAGATTGTGCATGTTGGTTTCATGCATACATGTAGTGCATAATGTGGTTTAAAGACACCTTGAAATGCAAGTGGGGCTTTTATTTCTCTTAAGGCACGGTTACAATGCAACAATGAAGAGTTTAGATGCAGAAATCTCAACTGGATGTGTTTTTTTTCTCTAAAATGTGCATTTTTCTCAGGCTCTTGTGTGTAGGTTCAAGAATTTCCCTTCTTTTGGCAATGAATAGTTTGTTTTTATTGGTTTTAAAGTGAGACAACTGAACATAAACATAGTAGGCTGAGAAAAATGCTAATTTTAGAGGAAATTTCAAATGGCTTATAGAGGCTTTTGCATCTGAACTCTTTAAACACATTATAATTTAGTTTAATATTAGTGTATTTTGTCATCTGCCACTTTGAAGGCTTGAGTTCTTTAACTTGTTTACAGGCAGATCTGCTTGTAATGAGTAAAATACCCTGAATTTTACAAATAACTAAACAGTGTGTGGCGTAATTGTGGCTCAGTGGTTAGCACTG